TCAGCGAACGTAGAAAGAAAGACATCCTGGGCCATTGCTGTGCAGCTTTCAGAAAGTTAGCCTACATGAATTGACAATAGAGCAAATGCTCCAGGAGAAACGAAGAACATACATGAGATAAGCATAATAGCAGACATCATAGCCCGCTGTCAGATGGCTGAACGTCCCGAATGCATACCCGTCTCGGCACTCGGAAAAGTTCATGCTTTCAACCTCCTCGCGGAGATCATACCAAAGCTTCTGCACGTCCAGACTTTCAATTTCTGCGTCTGTCTTGAGACTATGGATTTGCAAGTCGAAGATGGAGATTGACCTGCTCAAGTCAGACCAATAAACTCCAGAGACATTGTGGCGAGACATACAGTTGATAAAGATGATACAAGCCTCGGTTTAGGTAACGGTGCTTGATCAGGCGTTCAACTAAATCCTCAGAAATCTTCTTAGGCGGATCAGGCGAGTTGGGATGTTGCTTGCGCCACTCAATCAAGTAATTATGCTCCAGTGTGGTGTAGTGACAGCTGAGGCCCTGCAAAACCTCTTTCATCCAGCACCAGTTCTCGAGCATCATACTGGGCATCTCTCCGAAATCAGGAGGTAGCCGGTAGCCATGAAAACGGACATACTTGGTTCGTGCAAGAAGATCATGGATTCCATGACCCATTTCTGTGTGCTTGCGTTAGGATAAACTCAAGATTATATGAATAGAGCTTACCATGGAAAAGAGTCACCACTTGGTGATGTTTGAGCAACGCACAACCGGTGGGGGTAGGAGTCGGGAAGGAGCACATTAGGATAGTGGCAGGGTATTGCCGACTGCCACCTGGTCGGAGATAGCTCTGACATCCTATGTTAGTCTAAATCGGGCGCAGTATCGCTAATGTCGTGATTGGCACTTACACATTGAAGATTCACGCTTTGGTTACCGCGGTATTTATTCTCTCTCCACAGCAAATCAAAATAGAGATACCCAATGAATTGCTTACTGGGCGCACTCTCCCAGACAGAGAATACCCGGACGGACTCATGCCAGAGAGCCTCTGCCTCAGCTTCAACAGGTTCGAATTGGAGGCCCAAAACTGATGCAAAAATTCCCAGCATCCCTATGGCTGTTTGTTCGAGAGGATAGAACTCGGATAGCTGTAGCTGATCAATGGCAACCTCCTCTTCTACCAGCCGCATGTAATAGGGTTTATCCCACGGAGGGAATCCCACACCATTTGTGTCATGCTTGTCTTCCAGATCTTTCAGCCTCCTTTGCTGCAAGACTGCAATTTCATCTTTGCCCCGGGCGCACAGGGTCTCCTTGAGCCCATTGAGGAACCCATCTAGCCATTCCGGATCCTTCACCATACGTTGCTGTAGTCGATACTGAGCATGGGTGGGATGGTGCAATCGATGGGCCCGCTGAGCCCGTCGGCGGATGATCTCCTCAAATAGCGGCTGATTGCTCTTGAGCTTCTGATTATCAGCCAAAAACATCTTCTTCCGGGTCTCAGGACGACGAGCATAGGTCAACACTGCCAATGTACCTCCATTCGCAAAGGGCACAAATAACTTTCCTTTCCCGTAATCACTACCATTAGCACCCTCCCGCGTCCATTTCCCCAGGTCACTCGCATGTACTCCCTCCAACTCATCCTGTGTAAACCATACTCCCCCATTTTCTCTTGATAGATTCTCCTGAAACTTCCTCTCTATCTGTCCAATGTTCGCCCCCTCTTGCAAAAACCCCTCCACTTCCTCAGCACTCAGCACGCCATGCCCCGCCATCCGATAGTCTGTCAACTCTCGCTCGAGCAGATGGCGTGATTCACCATCCAATGTTTCAAATTCCTCTTTATTGTTGCGCACGGCTTGCAGGAGTTGAAAGTACCCCGTGTCGGCGATCCAACTTGCTCTTGCTTCGGCATAGAGACTCAACGCTGAGTGAACAGCATCCTGGGTCTCCCGCAAGGGGGCGCCGTACTGCAGCATGTCAATCATGGCTAGCTGGCCTTGGACGGCATTTTCAGTCTGTGCCAGTGGAAGAAGGGTGTTGGCGAAGGTAGCTGTTTCTGGAGTTGTTCCTTTGAGTATCGAATTGCGCGTTTGGGTGAGTTCATCAATAACTTGATGCATGAGGGGAAGGATTTGATCAGTGGTTGGCACACGGGGAAGGCGAAACATGGTGTATGAAAGGTTTAGCGTATTTGGGTGAGATACGATGAGTGGCTGCTTGATATTTTGGATCTTTAACATGGATTAAGTCCAGAGAATTGCAATGAACAACCGAAGAGGAAAAGGATTAGTTGATATAGCATAATTTCAATGAGACAAAAAGAGGGGCAGGGAGGCTGGTTGAGGCTAGGGCCTGCTCGGGGTTTCCCTAGAGGAAGAGTGACTTCTGTAGTACGTCGGGTGACCACCACTAGTGGCTAGTGATAAGGCTTCCTACTTACTTTCCCTGTTCCTGCATGATTAGCGTTCTAAGGTACTTAGTATAAAATCACGCCATAGCCACGTTTCATTCGTCCATCTTAGATGGCACGAATATCAGTTCTCATCGTTTTTAATTAAGAAGAGACATTCCTACTCCACACTCCACCCCTTTGTTCACCTGTGCACTCAAGAAAGACCTGAGATTTAAATCTTTACCAAACATGCTTAGGGATGGTTGGTGTGCTTTGCCTAATACTTGAGTCCTTGGAGTGTCACGGACCAAAGAGAAACCCCCACCCCTCCCCCGCGGGCTCTTGCTCATTTTATATAGATGGGTGTAGGGTTCCCGGCACTATTTCCCACCGTGATCTTACTACACCATGGAGAGGAAACCGTATAATTATTGGCGTTTTATATATTTTCTTAGTCGTCGCTTACAGCGTGTATCTCATCTTCCGATAATGGCTTGTGAGAGACATCAGTTACAGCTTTACAAAACTTACTATAAGAGAGCATTTGTGCTTTATTATCCTCATAGGCCCTTGAGCTATCAAGATGGTTGTATAAACACATGACCTACGAGAGTATGTGTTAAGGTTACGGGTTGCTTAAAGCTACCCACGTCCTGATCTGCATATGTGCCAAGGAAAGTTGACCATCCAGTGAAACCTTCTGCTCGTGAGCTTACAACATATTGTAGAGATATCGAAATGGCCTCTCTTAGCGTTACTGTTGCCCTTGGGTTAGTATAAATAGGGTGTCATCCAGCACCAATCAAGTAAAATGTTTTCGCTAAATACTATTATTAGAAAAGCTTGTTTATTACGAAAATACAACATGAAATATATGCTTTGTAGATTTTAATTAAATCTCATATACAAGTAAGTTAGTAACTCACCAGTCTATCTCGCTGTTAGACAGTGAAAGAGCCAATAAGATTTTTATATCGGAGTTATCATTCAGAACCCAGTGGACGCTAAGGAGACAGAAACCACATGACATCAATACCCCACTTGATCTCCAGGCGGGGCATATTTTTGGTGCAACCTCGGAATCTCCCCTTGTCACCCAACAATAACGCCATAACATACCAATAAATCCCTTAGCCTCACACTAGCAATCATGGCGAAGACAATCGTCGCAACTGGCATCTCATCCGGCTTGGTGAGCTTAGCTTTCCACCCCTACATGTATTAGTCTCTAAGACGCCACAGGGCTTTGAAACAGTCAAGCAGTTGCTTGAGCAAGCCGAGCCGTATAATTTCATCCTGGGCGCGCGAGACACGGCCAAGGTTCAGGCTGCTTACGATAGCCTCAACTATGATACCTCTAAGCATTCTATTACCATTTACCCACTGGATCTCCTATCCCTGAAGAGCGTGCAGTCTTTCGCAGCGAATGTCCTTTCCAAGCTGGGTTCCGAGCAGCTGGCTTATCTGTTCCTCTGTGCCGGCACCCTGGACAAGGCAGAAGGTCCCGGTCCGAATGGATCAAAATGGTGCCAGGGATATGTGGTTAACCATCTGGGTAGGTGGAAAAATTGGCAGACCACTAATACACGATGATGAGTAGTTTCGCTAACCTTGGAATAAATAAATAACAGCCCAGCATTATTTGGTCCACTTGCTCCGTGATGTGCTGTCTGCCTCGCAGTCACGGGTTGTTTTCGTTTCTTCCGGCGCGATCCGCGGTGTCAGGGACCAGGATCCAGGTGAGTATCCTACACGCATCCTGGTATGTAATACTGGCATTCATTGACTCTATATGGTATAGCAACCCTTGACGTGGACCTGAAAGCCAACTCTGGTGCAGGCTACCGCGTAGTGTACAGTGCCTCGAAATTTGCTCAGCTGTTGGGTGCGTTTTACTGGCGCCGCGAACTGCCTTCTTGCAAGGTCGTTGCTGTCTCTCCGGGTCTTATTCCTAGCACCAACCTCGCTACGCAAATGGGCTTGACTATGAACATGACTGATGCCAAGCCTATCCCTGAAGGTAAGGATTTTTTAATGCTTATTATCTAATTTGACTTGCTAACAGACGTCTATAGGAGCACAGAACCTCCTCCGTGCATTTTTCGTGAACGACTTCCCATCGGATCCGGAACAGATCTTCTTGACTAGCTGGGGAGAGTGGTGGCCTAAGGATGTGTATGCCATAGCTCTTGATGCTGATCTGCAGAAGAAGTGGTGCTTGAGCAGGGAGGAGATTGAGAAGACTGAAAGCATTGCTTGAATGGGTCGTCGATGCTGACTTATGTGAATCTATCTAAACCCTGGATATGCTATAAAAGCGATACCTACTTTACACATGGACTCAAGAAGCCGCAAGCGTGAGCTCTGAGGGAAATATTGCATTACGTAGAGTAAAAGGGTAAGTGTCTCAGCAATAAATGGTTCTTTCGAGAATCTCGCCCAGGATCTTTGGCCTCCGGTTGCCCAAGCTCACTCAATCCCGTGCCAAAATCCAATCCACGCCACATTGAATGCACTTAAACTGGCTGCCTAAGTAGTAATGCTATAGATATAACGCGCTAATATGACTACTGTGATAAAAAGTCGTATAGGGCAGTATGCTTCATTAAAGTCCAAGACTATTGAAAGGTAGGTTACACAGCATTGAGTCTTCAGACAACCCCACGCCAGTCGAACTTCCAATGTGACAGTCTAGCCCGAAGGCCAATAACCAAATAAAGCAACACCCTTTGCCCCATATTACGGGTCCCACCCCGCAAAAAAAGCACACAAACGTTATCGACTCCGTCCATCCCAGTCTCACCACTTTAGAGCATTCTTCATTGCCGATAATTCCAAATTCCGTTCGCCATCACGTCAGCAACTTCAGTGAACTCCTCCTCACTCAACTCATGAGCCAGCACAACTCGAATAGCATACGGAGTAGCATTCAGAGAGTCTATCTGTAGCTTGCGTTCGTCCACTATACGCATAATCCACACTAGCAGCGCCTCCACACGAAAGGGGAGCTGAACGCGCCGGACGGAGGTGGACGAGTCCTCATGGAGATTTGTAATGATAACATCAACAGCAGGGGGTCCGGAAAACTCGAAGCCTGTAGCATTTCGGACTTCGCCGGTTTCGGGATCGTTGTATTTGCCGTCCACGATGGGGCGGTTGCTTGCTGCGTGCCAGCTGGGGGTGTGGATCTCATCAGGATGTTGGCGGGAGAATGGGCCTGGGGCCATGCTTGGAGGATTGCTATTTGTGGTTATGGTTTGTAGGCTAGATGGATTGATGAACTGATTCGAGGGGAGGATGAGTATTGATGGATAGGATTGTTAGGAGGATGAAGGATGGTTGGAAGACTGTTGCGTTCAGGGTTAGTGAACAGAAAAATATACCTTATTGGGAGTCACATGATACATGGCAGGGTTGGTCAAATGTTGTCTGCCAATCGGTTTTTGTCGCTCTTTGTGGTTTTCTCAGCACATAAGCTGAGCTTGTTTGCTCCTGAGTGTTGTGTGTTACACAAGACCCTGGAGATCAGCGAAGCAACCGGATTGTTCCCTGCTTTCGTTTCCGAGCACTCCCGTCCGTCAGCCCTACCGATTCAGGGTCCATCTAAGCATCGTTCTCAGGAAGTACAGGCACCGACCCTCTTTGAGCTTTGCTTTGCTTGTGTTGGGTGTACAATCCATCGCATTCATGAGGGTTCTACACTCCTTTGACAAGATGTGGAAGCGAATACCCTCCCTTCAGCATTGAATGGCTACGCATAATGCTTACCAGAAGAGCTTCCTCAACAGCCTCGCCGTCGTTACACAGCCGGGGCCGACGATCAGGCGTGCCATACCCCAGTCTGGACTTCAATCACACCGGATTCACCTTGAGCCGAGCGAACGCGCTATCAAGCCACCCAGAGAACATAGCAGTAAGGCCTCAGATCAGCGCCGTCAGCACGGTGCTACTTGGTCGACCCGCAGCAGTTCACCAGAATCACACATACTGAGAACTATAGCACTCATCCAGCTCGAGACATAAAAGGCTCGTACCAGCCAGTACTCCAGAAGCCTTCTTTCTCACCAACAGCCTCATCTCTCATTGACTACTCTCCTATCCATAAGAGCCAAACAATTTAAACAAACACTTCGCTTACCCCAACCTTCACAATGCGCTTTACTTCCTTCGCCATTGCCACTGCCTTCTTGGCTACCATGGTCTCCGCAACTCCAGTGGCCGAGCCTGAGCCCAACTCGGTTGAACTGGCCGCTCGGGCCAAGTACACCATCCACTGCAGTGGTGGTCTCAACCCTGATTCCCGCTGCTTGACGCCCCATTCGAAGTGTGACTCTTATGGCACGTACCTGGTTGAGTCTGGTTACAAGGAGCAGTGCAAGAAGTGTGGCTGCGTGAAAGAGTAGATCTTCGATCCTCGAAAAGGTATTTGTTAGCTGCATCGGGAACAGGAGGGATGGGTGTTTTGCTAACATGAAGAAGTATAGTAAGAACAGAAGCCGGATATAGGAAGAGGGATAAAGAATGATAAGGGAGATTGACGGAGGATGTGGTGGTCTACAATGGGAAGATGTCTGTGTGCGAGAAGACTGCTTGGGATAAAGAACAGTGGATGAACGGTTTGGCTCAACACTCATGTTTTAACCCAGTGCTAGAACATAGAAATCATATCGTCTACTGTTCAGATCGTGGCCCATTAAACACGGTATGGATGTTTGGCCGGTTCAGGCAATAATAAAGATGGGATATCTTGGGCACATAGTTCGCTTATACGTAGGCACGCACGGTGAAGCCTCAACATGTACAACACTCGAGCGTCTATTGTAATACTACGTAGGGCTTCATATAACGCAATTTCTGCTTATAACATTCGTTTCTTCGTTGAAATAGGCTATACCCTATACTATAAATATAAAATTCTTCCATAACGGCTCATCAGGTTGTAGTTGTCCTCCGTAACAAGAGATCCTGGATCGAAGGCGGGGTAGTCTTCGATAGTTCCTACTCACTTGAATCTAGGGCTGCTCGTATCTAATTTGGCATTAAACTTGTAGTCGATTGCACACCTAATATTGAGCATCAAATGAATAAGCTGATCAGGATACATGTTGCGTTATTTTCAAATGGGAACTCGGCAGTCTGATTATCATTAGAGATTTCTGCGCCCACCATGGCTCCCAGAACAAATCCTGGTTCCCAATTTCCTCACAACCCAAGTTCACCATTTCATGCTCAAAACAATATCAGATACATGGCATCGACAATATAACCCATCAAACTGCGAGCACACTTCTTCCTCGATCAGTAGTAATTATCTGCCTCTCTCTGATGACCAGATAGTCTGGCCCCAGTCCACGCAGCTCGCACCGGCTATCCTCTCCCATACCAATATTCTAAATTAATCGGACAGGTATATTTTGCAATTCCAGTAGCCGTATGCGGGCTTTATGTGCCAGCAATGAGGATTATTTACGCCATAGTCCTCCAAATCACCAGATTGTCTGTATATGCGGATCTCTGGTATTATTGACATTGTTCATGGAGTGTAACGGACCACTACCGGAAGCAAAGCCTACAGCAGTCCTCCCCCAAGAGTAAGCCACAGGCTGGTAATTCGGCTTCTGTTTCGCTTAATCCAAGCATTTTCTTGGTCGTCCATTGTCATACATTTTCTAGACGCTTTAGAACCACCAATATCACGGCGGACCTGCTAGGCTGGGTGCCTTTCCCTTTGTTCGCTCCCTTCTGTTCATCCATTTTCTCCGAGTCTTGCTTTGCCCATGACAATGATGATCTATTGCGAGAACGAGTTAGCAGATAGGGGAGATCAGATCCATTAGCGAGTAAATCTTGGCTAGAGCGTCGGGGGCTTGCTGCGGTAAAACCCGTGCAAGGCTATTAGCCCTGGCTACATGGGTCGCCACGTGAAGGCCTTTCTGTTTCTCGGAACCGCTCATCTTTCGAGTCCAGACAATAGTCCTTTCGGTGAGGGTATAAAAGACAGAGTCATCTCATTTGCCCGCAGAGCAAATACATATGTACAATCACACCAGGCAAGATGCTGCTCGAGGTCTTGTTTGATATCTCGACCAACGGCGGACTATGTGCCCAATGGCACGGCCAAGCTTGCAGGATCTCATAAGTCGGACGGTCGGGCAATAGTAGAAGTCGATGAGAGCCGAGCCAACATGGGCGACAGGTATAGATGACATCTCACAGACGTGTTCCGTCGATGTCGCTTGCCAAAGCGCCTGGTTTTTCTTGATGCACTGATAGCACCGGCGCATGTCCTCTGAAGTAGGATACCTATGTGCGAAACTGTGGTAGAGGTGAGGATGCCGATGAGTTCATTATACATTTCCTGGATGTATGCATCTGATATGGGATTTAGCTCATATCAACGGAGTACATAATATGTCCTCGAGAAGATGCATCTTGTCTTGTTCGAAGCAGAGGGAAACCACAAGAAATATGTCTGTGTGAAGCACCGAGAATTGGGGGAGGATTGTTTTGAACAGAGTTTCATATCTGCACCCCACCAACGAGATACTAACCCGTCTTGCATACGCTTATGAGACACACATATTTGAGACCATGAATCTTTCCTGTCGCTGATTTGACGCTGTGATCGAGTTCCGACAAGTATTGCCAGAGGAAGACAAGCTTTGCCTTTGAAGGCATTGGAATCGACAACGGCTTTTTACTTCTGCACTTCCATAATCTTCTGTAGACGAAAGAGGAAGGCCATACAAGCCAGCATCCCAAAAGCACCTCCGCTTATTCGATATCGGAGCCATAACTAAGCGCGCGCAGATTATTGGGAAGCATCGAACACGGGAGACCAAATCTCTCAACGGCATTGCTTCGACTATATGGCTGATGTCCTTGACACAATAACAAGAGTTATAGGAATAATTTAGTGCCACAAGAGCCCGGAAGACCAGCAGTGCCGCATTTCTTTGGCACATTCGAAATTTCTCAGCTGTTCTGCCGAGCGACAAGTAACTCCCCATCAACGTAATAACCAATCATCGCCAGTTGGTTAAGATAGTCGACCTTGAGAGACTCCTTATTTGGGACGTACACCCCCATTGGCACCCTCGACGTGACATTTCAGTCCGAGTGTACTCCCTACTCTATCTGGCGAGATCGTCGTCGGGGACAGAATGATCCATGTCATGCCCACTCAATTAATAAACGGCGGATTAGTGTACGCTGGATATCGATGTACATCTGCTAGTACCGTAAGACACGCCTCGCGTTTTTCTTCTAATGAGGGGGTTTGACATCTGTTTCTGATAGACCCGGCATGTCATGCGTATAAATTGGTCGAGTATTGAGCCTGTAAATGGTCATGTCATAGTGCTCCTGGTACGTACTGGCAGCCATGGGCTCCTCACATTTCCTGTTCTATATACTGTTAGGAAACTGAATTCAAATTGCGTTTTGCAATGTCACTGTGGAGAACAGCGAGCTTGATATTGTGGTGCTCGAGGTACCGTTATAGTATAAGACACTCGCCCAAATTCCGACTCTTCTTGGTATGTAACCCATCAGGCAACCAAGCGTCCTGTTCTCCTCCATAGAAATTCCAGACAGTGGGTTGGTGACCGGACTGGTTGATCCTGGTAACTTGCAAAGGCAAATTCGAGAAGGCACCTTCCTTAGGACTAGCGGTGAATTGACCAGGAGGTGATATTTTCGCCATTTCCATAGACTCTTTTTGCTGTAGTACCTCACGTGCAGCATATATCGTCGTCAGAACAGATGGTGCACCTGCTTTGTAGTGACCATATGTGATTGAACCTTATGCCTAGGGAGTAGCCGGACGTAATTGCGCTTCCTGCTTCAGCCAACTAACCCTGGTAGCCACACCAGCTACATGCGGCCCATTGAGTGCCAGAAGAAGTTGTAAAAGCAAATGAGGAGACGGTGTATTGACTTCTCTTGCCCGCAAACAGGGCATAACTGCTTGCAGTGATGTGCTGTTCCGTTATGATGCAACCTCAGTGAAATTGAGACGATTGTAGCTCCTCATCATCGCATCTCACATGGAAAGGTTGTACACCCAACAATTAGACCTCAACATATTTCACGGATATCCCTGCTAGATATATAACAAGGCCATCATTCTACTCTGGTAGACCTGTTAGCCAGCTGGTTTCGAGCGATTTTCTTGACTGGACTTATTAAGGGTAGGATCAATCCTGATACCCACAATCGGTCCCTATTTGCGCCAGATGTAGGCTCAGAGAAATTGGTATATTGCAGATTTGCTATGATTACCCAGTTTCGAGTAACCTATTAGGTTCGGCTCGGTCACACCAGAC